CTGTGGTCCCAGCTACTTGGGAGGTGGAGGCAGGAGACTCGCTTGAGCCCAGGAGTTGGAGGTTGCTGTGAGCTGTGAGGCCATGGCACTCTACCCAGGGGGATAGCTTGAGGCTCTGTCTCAAAAAAAAAAAAAAAAAAAAGATTTCTAAGTACACACTCAGTGCCTGTGGCTCAAGTGGCTAAGGCACCAGCCACATACACCTAAGGTGGTGGGTTTGAATCCAGCCCGGGCCTGCCAAACAACAATGTGGCTGCAACCAAAAAATAGCCAGGTGTTGTGGCGGGCGCCTGTGGTCCCAACTACTTGAGAGGAGGAGGCAGGAGACTCGTTTGAGCCCAGGAGTTGGAGGTTGCCCTGAGCTGTGATGCCACGATACTCTACCCAGGGGGACAGCTTGAGGCTCTGTCTCAAAAAAAAAAAAAATTTCTAAGTACAGTAGAACCTCTCTAAGGTGACCACCCAAGGGACTGCAACAAACTGGTCAACATAGGGAGGTGGTTAACATAAGGAGGTAGGCCTGCTGTGCAGGTGTGTGTCCATGTGGTGCATGTCTGGTCTATGAAAATTAGGTCAACTTAAGGGAGGTGGTCAACCATGGTGGTCCTACTATACAGTGGAGTGTAGGACAGTGAGCGCAGTGGGTTTTTGTGGGTTTTTTTTTTCATTGTTGTTGTTAGGAAATGCTGTCAAATTCTGTCTTAATTCAGACCGAATACATGAAGTACAAAAAGGCAGAGCTGGGATTGAGGGTGGGTTGGGAGCCTGTGCCCTGCCCCTTGTCAGCCTCTGGGGAGATTCTCTGAACTGTTTCAGCCGCATCCATTACCTAAGGCACAGCCAGACTAGTGAATCTTTCCTGAAAGTTGTGCAAACATTTTAATCAGACTCTGGGTGGAGATTTGCCAGGATGGGTTTCCCTGTGGGTCTAATTTCAGCATCTGATAACATTGTACCGCAAACACACTGAGATCAAATGCAGTGACTATGAGAACAGCTACCAAATTTTAACTTTTGCATCTCAATTCAATGTTCAGAATTTTATTATTTTATTTTATTTTTCGAGACAGAGTTTCACTTTGTGGCTGTGGCATCATAGCTCACAGCAATCTCAAACTCTTGGGCTCAAGAGATCTTCATGCCTCAGCCTTCCAAGTAGCCAGGACTCCAGGCTCCTGCCACAATGCCCAGCTAGTTTTTTTCCGGTTTTTTTAGTAGAGTTGGGGGTCTCACTCTTGCTCAGGCTGGTCTTGAACTCCTGAGCTCAGGGGATCCACCTGCCTTTGCCTCCCAGAATGCTAACATTACAGGCATGGGCCACCATCCCTTCCTAACGTTCACATTTTTTTTTTTTTT